GTGTGTGTGTGTGTGTGTGTGTGTGTGTGTGTGTGTGTGTGTGTGTGTGTGTGTGTGTGTGTGTGTGTGTGTGTGTGTCAGATAAGACAAACATAGAATGAGGAACATACTTTTGCACAGATATTGTAGGACAAAATGAGATAAATAATCTATATTTAGTATTAGTTTAGCACAAGTTGTCACAAGTGACCCAAATTGAACTAGTGTTAAAGAGAGAACCAGTAGGAGACAATACCGACCCTTGCCACAGAACCATGTCAGATTCTGTAAAAAAACTGGTTATCAATCATCAGTTATTATTATAATTGTGCAAATAAGAGTACCAGCACCGTGCAGTCATGAACTTCTGGTCATTAAAAAATCCTGTTTTATGTTGTATAATAAAAGATTGCTTCCGAGTCATCAATTGGAAAGCTGGTCCTCCAGATTAATTTGGTAGTACTAACACAAAAGAAAAATGTCTACAGGCATTACAGGGTGTTATAATAGTGGTGTCATCATAAAGAACAGCTAATATTATAGCAGCAAAATTGAGGACTTGCATCTCAATACTCAACGTGATGTAATGTGGCTATTGTAGTGTGATAAATAGTGCCTCCACTTAGAAAAATAAAGCATGCCGTGTTCAGTATGTCACTTTGTGTTGATGTGCTCTCTTGTTCAATTTAAGGATGCCGCTATATCATAACATTGAAAATATCAGCACTATCATATTTGGTTCACAGAGATGAGGTTTCTCTGGGGAGAAGTGACATTCTGTGGGAAAGGGACCTGTTTTTAGATATAAAGGCCAACTTACAGCTGTAAAGTTACTTGGGACAAAAAAAACTCTCCAAGACCATGGGAGGAGAAGGGAATCTTGGCACAATAGAGGCTGCTAAAAGTGCATTTGCTCCCTGGAGGCAGAGAGACAGGTTCAATATGGAGCAGTATTAGCCTAGATTCCCCCACTAGGTGTTGGGGAAAGCTTTTATATCTCAGGGGAACTGGAACTGTGCTGAGACATTTATCAAATCCTGGAGCAGGACAATTCCATTGTAAAGAACAGTCAGGTGCAAATTCATAGTTTATAAGGCTCAGTATCTTTTGGAAAATTACTAGGAAGAATTTCAAACTAACATACTCACAACCAAGTGTAAGGGAAACTTCTGTGTAGCAGCAATGCAGTGGGAGTCACCGACTCAGGAAAGAGACACGGGAAGAGCAGGAGCTTTGATGTCAAACACTGATGGTTTATTTGGAGCTTCGGCCGGAGAATTCACATCACAAGTCCAAGAGCCAGAGGTTCTGACTTCACGGTAGAGTTGCCACGTCAAATCTGGAGCGCCTCTCTCTCGTTAGCCCATTTAACTGGTTTCACAGAGAGTCATCAACATATTTGAGAAGATAGCCTAAACAGTTGGGAACACTGAGTTACTTGCGTCTGACACTTATGGCCTCGAAGATTTCACACCTTGGAGTCCGCAAACACAGAGAAGGAAGTGTCCCAGTGTACCCACAACAATACACCATCTGTGACCCAGGGTTGCCCGGTCACAGAATGGGAACAACACATTATGGCTGAAGCAGCCTATCTCCTTAAAGGAGAAAACAAACGTCAGGGTTGGTCATGCACGTCATATCTAGGAGACTAGGACAATTATTTCCCTAACATCAAGACTGCTATTTAAAGTGTGACACTCTTTGACAATATTACCTGCCTTTAGAGTTTTTCACTATTCTGTTTCTTGTTCTGATGTTTTGCTATTTATAATTCAGGCAAAAGCTTCATTACTCCAATTGAATATTTGTCAGATGCTTCAACATGAATGCATAGCTATGGAACTGCATGTCAGTGGTGAGACACACCAAGCATATGGTTGAATATTGATGAGGCTGCAGAATTCACAAGATGACATGACAAGAACAGTCATCGTAAACACTTAAGAATATTAAAACTGTATGTGAGGTAGGGTCTATTTGTGTGAAATCCTTTTACTGGCAACTTGTTGCATTTTGGTAGTTGACTGGTTTAAAAAAACAGAACCAAGTAACGTTAAAAAAAATACATATTGATTCTGGCCAATAAGGTTGCCTTTGTCAAATGTCTTTCTTTCCCCTCTGCACTTCCTTTTTCTCTACTATCTTATGCTAAATATTAATAATAATAAAGAGGGAGAATAAATATCCAATTAGTCACTTAAACCATTTCAATTGAACAATCCTTATGGAGTTCAATTGAAATTCTAAAGAAGGATTATGAATATTTGAGATTTTGTTCCTGTATTCTTGAAGTGGATATTAAAGTTTAAAATGGAAATGAGAGTGGAGAGAGGTGGAATGACATGTTAAGGTCCCCAGCCAAACTCAAACCAGGAACACTGCACTCAGCGTCTAAAACCCCTTCACCACCAGGACGCTCTTCAATGGCTTCTCCTTTGGAGTGAGATTGACAGTACATGTTTTTTTTCACAGCACATCATGGAGTGGGGACATCTGTTGCTGTGTCTTCCTGCTAGAAAAGTAAGTGATAGAAAAAACTTATCTCCCACAGAAAGAGCTCAAAGAGCTTCCCATTCTCACCACCCTTTTCTCTTCCCTGCATTCGCTGCTACTCTCTCCCCATTTGTCATTCACGGCAGAGCAAAGCCACAGTTCTAGTCGATAGGCTTAGGGACCAACACCATTAACTGTCCCTACCTGATTAGTGCAAGGTAGACTCTCACATGGTACGACTAGACTTTTGGGTCAGCACAGAAAACCCCTCTTCATTATAAAAGCTAAGTAGTAGAATAGACATTGATTTGCTTGGTTATTGAGGATTAAAACTGGATCTAATAAGGGGTATTAGACATGGAGTATTTAAAGCAACACAAACTTGATCAAACCATGTATGCAAATAGGAATAGTCTGTTATCGATCTCATGACCTATTTCCAGTGGACACGCATTATTAATGACCTTCAAAAATGTTGTGGTCATTCAATATCAGATCAATGTTTGCCCAGTGCCAGTCTAACAGAAAATCCTAATACTGGATATCAAGCTTCATTGTTCAGTACGTCCCACTCTGGAAGATGGTGTCAACTGAAAGAACAGACGAATCACAAAAACCCAGAGACAACAAAGCAACGACTCTGCAGAGTTTTGACAAACATAAAAAGCGGGGAAGAAGAAGCAGTCTGTTTAACAGTCTTTTCAAACTCAGTTGCAATTTTCAAAATATCACCTGACGTTTCACTTCTAGCACAATGGTAATCATTTCCCCTTGTGCTTGGATAGCATTCCCTTCAACTTGTTTTTCTCCAGCGTTTTGAGTGACACATTCCACTAACCCTTTTAACTATTAACTAAAGTGCACTGATGTGCTATTCTCATCTTTAGCACAGTCTTACTCAACATAATACTACAAGATTAAGATGATGAGCACTTCCATCACTGTCCGTACTGGGAATAGACAGAGATGGAGGAGGCGATGTAGCACTGGTAAATCTCCACATTTAGTCATTATCTCATCTTATCAAGATCAAATAGTATCGCCCCACCCATACTGGATTATTAAACTTAACAGTCATGTGAGCATTTCAGAGTGAGAATCTGATGACATCTTGGTTGCTTGTTTTTTTTCTTTCATAAACATAAAATATAAACACATTTCTTTTAAAGTATTATTATTTGTGACTTAGCTTTGTACTAAGTGAGCAGGACATTTGGTCATATTCGTCATATTTTGATGATATTACAAAGTCTGCCACAATACAAATTCCATCAGATTCGATTTTAGGGGCCTTTGATTGATATGACAATATCATCAGAACATATAACATTATATCAGTACCATTTGTATCAACTAAAATAAGATTTGAAAGAAGGAAGTGTGTTTGATAGGAAATGGTGACAGAGACTGCAATGGGAATTTCAAAATAAAAGGTACATCCTAAAGATGATATGTATTGAAATGTTCCATTTCCATCAATAGTTAGATTGTTCATCATGTAAATCCATATATCGAACTAGACAGAGTATACTCACACCTTTGTTTAAGTCAGATTCATAATATAAAGGCTGTACTAGCTTAAATGTGTATAATCTATCACAAAAACTCAATATACACTCATGTATTAAATATTAATTTGGGAAGAACAGTCATAAATGGGCTGGTAGTGAACACGTCAAAGGGTACAGCTTTGGCATCCCATCAGAAACATAACATTTGAATATTTGCTAAAGATTTCCTTGGCTGCAGTGCATATACCGGCATTTGACATTTAAATATCTACCCGCCTCACAACCCTCTGCTTTGAATCCTGTGCACACTGCATTATGTCTCAGCGCTACATGCTGCATGCTACACGTCGCGCCCTGCATGACATCACGAAGATGTACTGAGTGTTCCTTTGAGTAATGGAGGTTGTTTGGAAGTAGCATTCATCCAAAGGGTTTTTCCTCCGTTGATTTCCCTGCCACATGCCGTCTAATACAGGGTCACGTTATCCATTTTCGATAGGTTTAATTTACCAATTCAGTTCACCGTTACTTGAAGCAGCAGTAAGTTAAAACGAATACATACTAGGAAATAATACAGATGTTCTTGCCCTTGCTCGTCACCCTACACCTGGGCTAGGTTCATGGTTGCCATGTAAACAAATGACAGCCAAGATGCAGCCGCATGGGGCACGGTGTGCTAATGGAGTGGTGATGAGGGTTTACTTTATGCAGCTAGCATGTAACGTTAGCCCACTACCCCGCCAACCGGACACAACACAGACCCCGAAAACGTTACTATCAACACTGACCAAATTCTTCAAAAATGTCGACGTTATCACCCTCAAAACCACCGTCCGGAAGAAGCAAATCCTCCTTATTCTTCCAGTTCATGCTATCAGAGCTCCGCTAGCTAGCGCAAGTTAGCACATAAAACATACGTTAAATAATACAAGTACCGTGCGCTAAAAATAGCAAGTTATCTTTCTCGACGCGTCGGTGTGCTGTAGGAATATAGCAGCTAAATGTTAAACTTACTCTGTGTCGACCAGCGAGGCGATCATACAGTTGTTTCCGAGCTTCCTTCCCAAACCAGCGTCATAGCACGGGACTGTGTGAGATAGCCGGGTTGAGGGGAACAGCAGGCGGGCTGTGGCGGACGGTAGGAGTCGGCTGGAGGAGAAGTTTCAACATGGAGAGTGTGGAGTGGACTGGATCCTCCTGCTGCGGTTCATCTGGCTGCTGCTGCCGCTGCTCAGGCAGCCCTGGCGACACCTGTGGCCGCAGCGGCGCACAACACCTGCTGCACGGTGCTGGAGATATCAACCATGTAGGCTACTCTATGGCGTTATGTGACCTGCAAGAGCATAATTTCCATACATTTTCAGTATCACCTATGAAGTATTAAAGCCCCTTTGTTGAGATTTTGTATAGCATTGCAACGTGTCAAGATTATAGTTTATGAGATTAATTTAAAAATAGAGCCTCTAACTTCATTTTGTCCAGTGTATTTAACAATGGTAGGCCTACACGTATTGAGTATTGAATTTACATAACTAGCATTTTACCATTTTTAATACTAATGTTAACCGTTTTTTATATTAAAGCATTTCACTGTAATGTAATTTTAGGAAACAATGTCGTTTTTTATGTGTTAAATTCTGGTGATTCGGTTTTTTACAATAATGCATGACACTTTTCTTAGCTGTTCATGTTTTAAATTAAAATATATATATTTTCTAAGAATTTACCAACTATAACTGTCAGACATATGAAGTGTGTGATCAGAACAATATTTTTTCTGGAAAGCAGCATTTTAAGTGTACCGTGAGTTGACATACTTAAAAAACACAATTTCCCTAAAATTATACTATGTACTGTGTACCTACCACGCCAAGCCAAAACCTCCTCATACATACTTAATTATTATAATAAATGTTACCCTTATTATTCAAAGGGAAATCGCAAGCATTTACAACGTGTAGTGTCAAGAAAAGACCCTCTTCATCTGTGTGATTGTGTGTTTTTAAAGACAGCAACAACACCATAAACTATTAACGCCTCAATCGGAAGCTGTTGGCACAAAAACATTTAAGCTCATTATTTATTTTGGACCCCCCAGTTATCTTGTCCTGTTGGATTTTGTATTCCCAGGTTGTATTGCTGTCATAACCGCTTCATCTGTCTGTATACCTTTTATTGCAACACACAGCATAGGAGAATAGAAGCCATTCAAATGCCACATCTATTTTTAGATCTTACATGTGGATCTGAGAGACATGGTACAAGGATGATGAGTTAGAAATATCAGGCTCATTGAAGCCGACACTCTGTCAAAATCTTACATTACCACCATGCCGGGGATGCCCTCTGTGTGAAAGTGATTGCCCTTAACCCTTGTGTTGTGTTCGAAAGCTGTTACCGTTCATGGTGTTCGCGGGTCAATTTTGACCCATGATTTATCTCAGTCCAAAACACTCAAAATAATGACTATCATCCAATATTGTTTTAACTACATCATAACTAACTTATTATGCATTCATAACCGTACTATCCTGTTGTAATTTTATTTTATGGCCCGACATATTTAAGTAAAACATGTGATTCAATTCACTCTATGATATTTCCTATAGTGAAGACAGTGGATCATTACGTTATCTGACTATAATAGACTAATATTACAATACAATCTCCCCAAAAAAAGATTTTAATTATTGTAACAGTGGATGAAGGGGATGGGGTTGGGGTGTCTAAAATCAAAGATGAATCTTGATTGGGCCAATTTTGACCTCGAGTCACCCACAACAATTCTGTTGGGTCTTTTTTTTTTTAGACCTTCAGACTTGGCTAAAATTGTCAAAATCTGTTTTGTAATGTTTATATAGCTGTTGTGGAGGATATCATGAAGCCTTGTTCCGTTAAAAAAAAACTATAGCGTAGTTATTATATCATTTTATCTTGAAACGGGTCACGGGAGACCCGAACACAACATAAGGGTTAACACACCTCCATATTGCAGAGAATCCCCCGAGTGTACGCCTGATGTGAGCTGCAAAATTAGAACCTTTTGAAGTCTTAGTGTAAAAAGCTTGTTCTTTGTGATGAAATATAAGGTTAATTTAAACCATGCAGACACATAGCCATACATTGGAATGTAATAACATAGATTAACCCATTTTGGTTCATTTTTTATTGACATGTTTACAAATATTAAATCATTGCTTTTTTTACATTTATTTGCATTGTACCAGCAAGCATTTTATAAAGCATTCCAAAAACATTGCTACAATTATGAAACTATTTGCTATTCTTTTTTCATTAAGTGCTTTTAAACATTAAGTACATTATAATACAATACAAATGAAACATTTTAAAAATAAAAAAATCATAAAGCTGACCCCACACACCAATGTACCTGCCTAATAGCAAATGCTGCCCTTTAAAAGCTAAACACAAAACTCCTATGGTGATTTTTAAATCACAGGAAATGGCTGTAAACAGACCGGATATACAGCAGGAAGTGACATAACATGGTTGTTTCTTTGAGGAATGTACAGAGAACAATGTCATTAACAAAACAAAATCAGTACGATGACTTCTAAATTCTTTAAACTACAAACTGTGGCAGTATAGATTTTCTCACACCATACCACCCCAGCAAAATTCTCCTGAGCGCTTTTTTAATGCAAACCTATTCTGATCAGATGAAGAAAACAAAAATCAAAGTCAAATTGCAACAATCAAATGTGGGGCGAATGAATGTTTCACAAACAACTGGCCAAAATGTTATCAATGAGACTGATAACGGATAAATACATCTTTATAATTTGTAAATGCGACAGTGTACAAAAGACTAATGCATCCAGTGCATTACTAACTACAGTGCATAGACAAAGAAAAGTCTTTACATTGAACATACAACATTCCTTCATTAAAAGGCATTGCACAGTTTGAATTGGAATAAGGCAAGCTAAAATTATTTGCTGGATAACCTGATACTTCTATAAAATATGATATATTGTTTATCTTAACCTAAAGGTCCCTTTAACAAAGTAATATCGTATCAGTTCCTGTTTGTCTCTTTCAGTTTAACACAATACAATGGAGTGCCACCTACTGGCACCAAAGCATACAGGCTTTGAAAAGGCACATATTATTTAAACCAGCAATTCTTCGTACAAGGCAATACAAAGTTCCAATAATACAAGTGTTCCTGGCAAAAACTGTAATAATAACTATACAGCATACAATATATTACCTGAGAAGAAAATTGTATAATCAGTTAGTCATATACAGTAGTAAACAAGCAGAAATGTAAAGAAAGACTGAGCAATACAAAAATCTGCCTTTATCAGAGACAATCCAATTGACATATAATCCAATTTCATTTTGGTCAGTGATGATGTCCCCTATTGTATCTCCATATGCAGCTCCCTCTATTATCAATCATTCAACATTTGCAACAAATAAATACCACAAAATAGAGGGTTGAATCTAAAAAGACACAAGATACTTATCAAAAGCCTGGCAAGAATACAAATAGAAATGCACCACAATTTGTCTGCAGATTTTTTAAAGCTTGAGAGAATATAGGAGGACCTGAGTGGTTTTCTTGGGTTTATGCATTGCTGTACTCACTTTTGGAGAAACCTTTTTTTTGGTTCTATATTCTCATAAATAGAGAGTGCAGCAGCGTTTTGGTAGATTAGATCCACATTGGTTCCAGTTCTTGATCTGATGATGTCGATGGCACACTGGTTTAAGAACACATACTGGTCCTGCAGAGACATCCAATTTAAAAAAGACTGAAATACGGCACACTTCGTATACTTTACATATATTTCAAACAACATGCACCGTGAAACAAAAACAATTAAAACTGTGAGACTTTGTCTTACCTCTGTCTGCACCATAAGGGGTCGGTGCATGCGGAGATCATAGACGATGCCGAAAACGTCCACAATATTTTCCCTTTCAATCTGGAACATCAAATGGTCGATGGCTATGAAGGTGCCAGTTCTTCCGACACCAGCACTGAATGTAGAAAACAAAGACACAAAGTAGAGGGAAAGAGAAAAGACAGACAAATATCAGATCTTTTTGTCATTTCAATTGTGCAGAATTAAATTGAGTTTGTGTGTTCAGTCGGACCTGCAGTGAACCACAGTGGGAGAGTGCCTGGAGAATTGGTCCATGTGTTCTCTGACCAAGTGTCTGAAGCTGATGAGGAGCTCAGTGGTTTGCGGTACACCGTGATCTGGCCAGGCTGTGAAGTGGAAGTGACGCACTGAACGGGTCTCTGCTGTTTTTACCTACAGGAAGAACAAACCCAAAATAGTTGCGACTGGCTGACTTGCTGTGATGCAGAGAAAGGCTTTTTCACAATTATAAGGCCCTGCCTCAGAACGTAACTGGAGCACAGAACTTGTGCCTTTAGACTCATTCTTTTAAAAGTGTTCAGTAGAGTGTTATGTTCACTCATAGAAGTGATATACAAGTATTCCAAACTAAAGGTGGGAAAACAGCCCTGATGGGTGATGATTAAACGACAAATTGTTTGAATTTGACCCTCCTAAAAATATATATATTTGGAATATTTAACATCTCACCACTTACATTTTTAATGTCAAAGTCCCTGATGGTCCAGTCTTCAAGTGCTATTTCAGAGGTTGTTGTCACAGTGATGTTTTCAAAGTGCTTTGTGCCCTGAACCCAATATTGCTCGCATTTTACCTGGAACAGGAAAACACAATATTAACAATCAATGTACATTTTAAGTTTAAAACCTTATAATTATATTTCTAAAATATGCAAATCATATCTACTGCATGTTTTAGTTTTAACATTCTCGTTGCTTCGCGGCGTTGTGCTTGTGTTCAAACTCACTCGTCCCTGTTCATTACAGCGTGTCAGCATGACCAGACTCCGTACGTTCTTCTCCCAGATCATCCTCCAGAAATCGTTGACTGTGCCGGGCAAAGGACCCTGAGCTGCGATAAACTCCTTCCTAGAGTTGTAACCCTGTCAAACAAAACATCAGCCCCACACACACAACACAAACGTCCACCCTGTTCAGTTGAGAGCCTCAAAGAGCTCAAAACATCACTGCAAATAAAGTTGGATAGCATGCCATTAAGAAGAAGGATGATGATGATCAGGATGTTAACTGATACTGAAGCAATGACTCAGGCAGAGAGCTGTTTTTAAGTGTCAGTACGCACCGGCATGTAGTTAGCATTGATGTAGTCATCATATGGACTCCCATGGATGATAGAGAGTTTCACCCTAGAGGAGTCATCTGGGAGGTGAAAAAAGAGCGTAAATGAAAAGATACGTTTGCTATATGAAGGTAGGCCGCACTGATATGTGTCAGATTATATGGATGTTATGTCCACTTAAAAATGGGATAATGACGGTGGATAGCACTGGATACAGGTGATAGGCTATGACGTAGTTGAAAGAGTCAGGAGTGTTATTGTTGAAAGCAGCAGAGGTGGATTTGTGAAGGAGACTCACAGGGAAGCACGTTAGCGTAGCGGTTCTTGGGCTTGTTCTCCAATCTCTCAGCATTAGTTTTCAACTGAGCTGTACCAACCATCTTCAGGTCCTTTTGGATGAAAAAAAGAATAAGGAAAGATGATTTGATGACTCAGACTAGGGTGCATGCCTGGTACCAAAAGAACAAATCAATATATTAGGCTCATGTTTCACCTCAAATTCTTCAGCAAAGCCGCAGTTGGAGTCGGCCTTCTGCTTCTTGTAGTAAGCCTCAAAGTCCTCCACCCTCACAGCCAAACTCCTGCTCAAATGGAGACGAGAGGTCAGACCACTGTGTCTTCATTTTGTGTCAAAATTAGAAAAGTTTAAAGATCTAAACACACTTAATAATTTAAAAGGATTTATACTTACACTTTGGCTCTGAAATAAGAAAGAGGAAGAAGCAATGTTGACTGTTAAAGAAGCAATTGTTGTCCATTTACTTTAAACTTATAACAACATGGTAAAAATGAAAACCTTACCTCATGGAAAAAATCTGGATGTCTGATGATTCTTTGTTGGAAACCCTGTAATACGTGTGTGGCGAGTTAAAAGTTTAGTCCAATACACACAGACTCAATATCTTTTTTATAAATTAGGACAATGACAAACCTTTTCCAATAGACTATGAAGCCGATTAGGATGATGAAGAGAACGCAAAAAATTCCCAATGTTACTCCGACAGCAATGCCAATGATTGCTAAAATGTTGACAGAGATGAGAACAAAAAGACAAACAAAGAGGTAAGGGAGTGTTTTCTCACCTCGTGGGAGCATTTTATAACAACACGTGTTCTGAATGTGGTACCTGGGTTCTGTGGAAGTATAACAACAGGATAGGGATGCGCTATTGTCATCAGTGATGCACTGTTTAGGACAAGGTTTTTTTCCATGACCAGACCGGTGAACAACACAATGGCATATCTGCAGGATTGAACAAATCAGTTAATCGATATACTAATGCTCATAATTCCTTTTCCTAATATCCCAATAATGTACTATTGTTTCATCAAGAGTAACTACTTTGTACTTCTGCATACCTATTCATATACAATATTGTTTGTGTTCTTACTGGTATTTTCCATTAGCATCCAAAGCACCATTAGTGTAGCCTTTCCAATGGGATTCATCTCCCACCGCTATGTTGAAATGGCTTTCTCCACTGCGTTTTTGGAAGGGGATTTCTGTGACCGTTGCCAGGTACACAGATGTATGCTTTGTTTTCCACTGACTATAAGTTTTTCCCAAGTACTGGGTCCAATTAGCTGTGTCACCTGTTAGGGCAGGAATTACAGTAGTTGGTATTTATTGTTTCATGGTAACAAATAAAGACAAACAGCAGTAAATACTTCCAGAAATGGTCACATTAGCACCAATTGATGATGAAAGCGCAACATAATTACAGGACTAAATACACATTTTACATTTCAATTACTCATCCTGTGTTATGTTACATTTGGGAAGAGAACATGGTTTGTTTGCATTAATCCACTGTGAAACAAACTTTTTAATTGATTTCCCGCTGGAACACAAGGACAACGAAGTGTTCTTCACAAATCCAAAGTAACATAAGGTGAGTTGTTGATATACAATTGGTCATTTTGGACATGATGTATTATTTTAATAAATGAAAAAGAAACTACTACTTTTGAGGTCATTTGTCACCAGCACCCCAACATGTGTGATTGGCCCATTGGTGTTGTCCAGCAGGCTGTCGTAAATCTGAAGGGTGAACTTGCTGAATAACGTGGAACCCACATTCACCAGTGACTTAAAGTTAGCTGGAATAGATGGATCTTTGGGGGGACAAAAATGATTTTAATCAAATATATATTGAATAATTCGTGGAACAGTTATGGAATTCTAGTTAATGAAGCATAATGTCTTACTTGTGATGCCTGTCCAGCATTGAGTATTCTGAGGAGTGCTGGGTAGTCCACAGCTCTGAGTCTCCATTGTCAGATTGTATTCAGTATAATGAGTAAGGTTGGTCACAGTATGTCCACAACAGTTTTTAGTCGAGGTGATATTGCCATTATACTTGACTTTGAAGCCAGAGTATTGGCCATTGGGTTTTTCCCACTTCAGGATGAGTTCTGCCTTTGTTGTGTTCGGACCTTCACACTTCAAATCTTTCACCGGGCTTGCATCTGCAGCATAAATAGGATATTATTGTCAGAATAACATCAAATTATTACAAATATGATTTTCAAAATATGTGTTTCCATTTATTCTATGTAAAGTTCAACTGCTATGATCATACTTGTGCACTTGGAAATCCATTCTGGAGCACCTTTGGTTCCATCAGAAGTCTCTGTGGTGACACTAATGTTATACTGTTTGCCAGGATCCAGGGTATCAAAATAACTCTCATTTGTTGTAACTATTGCATCATTAAAGAACCCATCTGAGCTCTGCAAAGTCACAATGTAACGATAGCTTGTCTTGTCTTTGTCAGGTACAGTCCACATCACGCTGATTCTCTCCTCTTCTGGATTAGCCTTAAGTGACTTCACGCTAAATGGTCCTGTTTATATGAAAGGGGGTTGAGAGATTTAAATATTACTAGACAGAAAAGGTGAAACAGGCCATGAAAGTGTTGGTGCTTGCTCACATAAATTAAATCCTTACTTGTAGTGACCATGTTCAGCTGAAACTCTGCACTCTCAAAACCCATCACACCCACTGTAGCTACGGAGATGTTGTAGGAAGTCCCAGAAAGCAGGGAGTCAAAGGTATGATGAATGTTGCTGGTATTGTACATTTCTCTTGCATGGGGTACAATAATCAACTTGTACTGGAAAGATGCATTGGTCATCAGAGGGGCTTCCTCCCACCTGATGAAAATGGAGCTGGTGTTCTTGTCCAGTAGGTAAATCCCCCCGGGAGTATTAGGGTCTGGAGAGAGGCGAATTAGAGCATGTTGACTTCAAAAAGCCACCTACCAAGATATTAACTTACAAGTTTTCTAATTTCTATACAGATGAATTTCATATGAATATCGCCTCACATATATGCATGCATACCTGAGACACAGATTATTTAATTAATATTTAATTGCTGTTCAGTTTGAAGCTTAGATATGAGCTAAGGATGGTGTGTTATGGAACAATATTACTATACATTAAAAAAAGGTAACATTTTGCTTTTTAAAAGATTAGCCATATACATAATGTTTTTTTGTTTTTTTTGCGGGGTTTACAAGTTTGAATAATTCTTATTATATGTATATGTGTGTGTGTGTGTGTGTGTGTGTGTGTGTGTGTGTGTGTGTGTGTGTGTGTGTGTGTGTGTGTGTGTGTGTGTGTGTGTGTGTGTGTGTGCGCGTGCGTGCGTGTGTTTTGCGTATGGGTATTTATGTAATAAAGGTAGCTCTCAAACATGATATATCCCTTACTCATGGATTTGTTTTGCAAAACAATATTTAACATTTAAAAATATGTCCAAACTTTCCATTCCATTTCCCTGTGTGATACCAGACAGCTTAAAGTTAAACCACATTGTTAAGTAAATGCAGTTAGTTGTTTTTTTATACTAAAGATGTGAGTAATATAATATGTAACAGCTGAAAATGTAACACATGTCTCATACTTACAAGTTGCATTAGTAACGAATCCAGATGATGCATTGAAGGGTCCACAAAATGTGGTTACCTTGGCACGATATAGCATACCAGCAGACAAGTTGGCAAAGAGGAAAGAGGTGTGGCTGAAGTCTAGCACTTCCTCTGTCACCTCAGTTGTGAAAATGTTTTTGAAGAAAACTGTATAATTCTCCACTTTCCCAGGAGGTTTGGTCCATGACACCAGGACTGAGTTATTGGATTCCTGGCTGGAGATACTGGGTTGCACTGCCTCAGGCTCTGTTAATGTGCAGAGGCGGAAAGATTATAGCAGATCAACCACCTAGACAGTTCAAAATGAAGAAAAATAAATGACAATCTTACTAGTGTACTGAGAGGTGCATCTGGCTTCCCCTTCTATGCCATTTGCTGCCATGACAAAAACACAGAAGGTGTAGTTGGTCCCAGCAATGAGCCCCGAGATCTCTGTGTCCTCTTGTTCGGAGGATTTGTTTTTGGATTCATAGTCAAATTCTGCATACTCGACCCGATACCTGAATTCAGACTTATACTCTGGTGGCTTAGTCCAAACCAGATGTACAGCAGTTGAGTTTAAGGTGTCAGCTTTCAACTGCTCAATGCTGTAGGGACCTGCAAACAGAAAGTGTTTCTGATAAATCTTTAAAAAAGCACATCATCTTTGTTAATTTTCTTTCAGATACTGTATGTTGTCCTCATTACATAGGCTACAACTGCCTTCAGAGACAGCTACAACAACAATGACAAACTAAACTGTTTAATTGTTATTTACTTTAGTTGTTTTACTCATATATTTTGGGGTTTGACGGTGCATATACAGTACATACGCGTAAAGTAGGACACTGCCATAGGAGCTGCCTCAGTGCCATCTGCTGTCTGTGTGGTTACAGTGAAGCTGTAGTTGCTCCCAGAGAGAAGTCCATGGATTGTTTGGTTGTGTTTGTTTCTGACTGTTTCAGCAGAATTGAAGGAGCTCATGCTGGTCTGAACCACATATGAGTAGTTTTTGTCTTTTGGCTGTTCCCACTCCAGGGTCACTGAGTCTGTGGTGATTTCTGTCTCTCTCAGGTTGGTGACAGAATATGGTCCTGAGAAAAAGACATGAACAGGTTTATGTGTTTGTGTATGTCAGATTTTGGGTTAAGCACATATAGCTTAATATGTATTGTGCATTAACTGTTATTGTGGCAGATATTTATTGGACAATAAACAATGTGTATTTTAAACAAAGTTTAATTAGACAGGATTACTTCTGGGGAGTTAATGTGATGGCCAGAAACGTCCAAATTTGTTATGGTCCAAAATTATTACACTTTCAATTATTATATATTAACGAGTCTGCCAGTGGGACATTGACCAGTAAATACATGAGTGTGTATAACTCTTTTGGATGGTGTAACTCATTTCTATTTTTATCAAGCAAATGCATCTCTTTAGCCACCAACAATGTTATATACTGTATATATACATAAACACTTTTCAGTAACTGTAATCACATACTTGTGTAATTTGATATGCTTTCCACTGTGGACTTGACCCCTTCTACCACCGTAAAGACATAAAAAGTGTACAATTCTCCAGGTGTCAGATTGCAGAATGTGAACGACTCATTGTAGATTGAAGAATTCTGCACCATCCTGGTGTTCTGCAGCGCTATCACCAGGTAGGAGTAGGAAGGCTTGTGATCGCTTTGTCCGAGCCATGTCAGCCGGATGGCCGTTGTGTTCACATACTCCACTATGAGCTGCGACACTGCTTTCGGCACTGCAGCAAATACAGAAGAATGATATATAAGGCTTGAATCCACAATATAAAAGGGGTATTTTAAATGTACCATCAATTTGAGTATATACTGTAGGATGTTTCTGATAGTACATAATCCATTAATGCTTCATTGTGTTTTAATGAAAGGCCTTACTGGTGTAACTGAATGTCTGTTCCATCGTGGATTCACTCCCTGCTGCTGCTATAGTCGTGACATTGATATTGTATCTATTCCCTGGCTCCAGAGATGTTACATCTGCGCTGTTATGGCTGACTGTTATGTTGAACACCAGTTCTCCTGTAGTCTTGTAGGCTTGAACCAAGTATTCATAATACGACCAGGCTTCCTGTGGTTGTGACCATGACACTTTTACTGAGGTGGTGGATTTAGGGCTCGCTTCAAGGTTCAACACAGGGTTGGGCACTAGAAAAATTACAAACAAAGTTAATGTTCACTAGAAATCAATTGAATCACAAAAGACTTATGTCACTTGTGATCTAATAACTATATATGTTATTTCATATCCAGCAACATTCTTACTGAAGGTGGTGCCGGACAAAACAATTGGTTATTTTACTGATATTGCCAAATCTACAACATGACTTTAATCAGTCCCAACTTTAGAGACACTTCTAGTAAACTTACAGGTTAAAGAAGCATTTTGGACAGCCGTGCTCTTTAAACTCTGGGGTCCAACTGTTTGTACAGTTATATTGTAGGACTTTCCAGAGAGAAGTGAGGTCAGCTCGGTGTGGGTGTCTGAGGAGATTTTATTCAGTGCCTCTCCACCAACATGCTGATAGGATATGTTATAGCTGATGCTTGGAGCTCCATCCATCAAAACAGGAGTATCCCACCTCAAAAAGAGCGAGCAGTTTGTCCTCTGACTGATGATGATGGATCCAGGAGGTGTGGGCTCTAAGAGGAATGAAAAACAGGTAGACACACACTTAATGCTTGTGTTTCTGTTGTTATACATGTCCTACTGGTTTTGATGGTTTGAACCCTAAATAAAAAATAAACCCACTTGCAAAACATTATTACAATAATAATAATAATAATAATCTTACTAGTGGCAAATGAAGACTGCTCAGACGTCTCGCTGAAGTTTCCAGCTACAGCGGTCACTGTGATATCATACAGTCTCCCAGGGAATAAATCAGTAAAGTTTGCTTGTTTGCCCGCTGTTGTGGTGCTATTAGAATATATTTTATTTGAGATGTTCACTACATAGTGATCAGCACTCCCTAAAGATAAAGTCCACTCGATGGTCAGGTCACTGGTTCCTCGAGCAGTAATCTTGATGTTCTCAGGCTTTTCAGGACCTGTACGATAAACAAGTAAAAAAGTTTAGTTCCCTGTCATTGCATTATGAAAGAAACACCTTTCTAGTCATGTAGTGAATTTGAAATAGCGTAAAAGTAGGAACCACCAATGAAATATGTATTGACCAATAAAATATATCAAATATTACAACATGATCAATATATCTTAGTAATCCATAGACCATGTACTATATAGAAATACTGTACTATATTTCTTATTAACCTAGTGTTTAAAATGGTCCCTTTATGAACAATATTTCTCCCAAATCCAATGCGATATCAAGTTAAATATCATAGCAACACATTTTCCTTATTAGTACATGGTAATGTGTCAATCATTAATTAATCAACTTTTTGGTATATGTAAGCAGATGAATGTTAAAAGAGGCAACAGCTTTAACTACTAATGTGGGAACCAAAAGGGAGGCTGGCGTGAAAAAATATGAATGACATTATTGTAAGCCAACAATTTTTAGGATATGGAATATGTCTTCTAAAAGAAGAAATAACTCATTGTTTCACAACTACATTACTTCATTTACATCAACTTCATGCAAGTGCAAATACGCTTTCCAAAAGTAGCAGGAAAAAGGGATCTCCAAAAGGCATGGACCTACTTGTGAAGGTACTTATTGAGGTTCCGGCTCCTTTGTTTGAGGATTTTCCAGCAACAGCAGCCACTAGAATGTTGTATTGGACTCCAGGGATTAAATTGTTGATAGTAAAGTTGGTTTCAATAGTGGTATTATTAAGGGTTAGGGTTTTTCCTATTGCATTCCACTGAACTGAGTATGAGGACACATTGCCCTTGGGTTGTTTCCAGATCAGAGACACAGATGAATTTGTGACTGCAATGATGGAGAGATTTTCTACACCAGCAGGTTCTGCAATTGCAAAGAAAAACAGGGGAAAATGCAACATATTAGGAAAAATTAGGCATCTGAAAATGGATAAAAATCTTCATTGACGAAAATTGTGATTTAAAAAATTAGAACTGTGCAAAACAGAGGGTGTGGTTTACTTGTGAATATGTTGAGTTGGTAAAAAAGTTTCAGGGAATACAAAACGACTGCGAGTGGTAAAAACAAAAACTACACCAGAGTATGTTTCATGGCACGAGACCATAGTTGCATAACCAAAAAGCTACACAAAGCTATTAAGCGCAATAAAACTCGTATTAAAAAGGGAAAAGGAGAAGAGAGGACAATACTCTATGAGTAAAACCTTTAGTACTTGGTGTAATCATGTTGTGCCTGAGGATCAACATCAGTCTAAGGACGAACAGCAAATTAGGGAACAACTTCTATTCTATATTCACAAGTATCATCCTGCTTGTGATCACTGCAGACAGTCTTCAACAACAGATATCTTCAGCAGACTCTATCTGACCTCATGAAACTCAGTTAATGTTTACTTACTGGTATATCGAGAAACAGTGGTACTCTGTCCTTCAGTACTGCCATCACCTGCCACTGCAGTAATAGTGATATCATAGTGGACACCAGCAGTCAGCTTAGAAATGGTTATATTTGTTTCAGTCACGTTTTCACTTTTATTTACATTTCCATCAATCCACTGTACTCTATAGAAAGAGCTGTTCCCCTCTGGTTCATTCCACATCACAGATATAGAGGATGTTGTGATTTCAGTGACAGAGAGATTCCTGACTACTTCAGGCTCTGTGAGCGCAGGATAAATACAAGATGAGGAAGGAAGAATATTAAAAGCCAGGGAACACAAAACAACTGCGAGTGGTAGGAACAAAAACTACGCCGAGTGTGTTTCATGACACAAGACCATAGTTGCTTAACCAAAAAGCTACACAAAGCTATTAAGTGCAATACAACTTGTGTTAAAAAGTAAAAAGGAGAAGAGAGGACAATACTCTATGAGTAAAACCTTTAGTACTTGGTGTAATCACGTTGTGCCTGAGGATCAACATCAGTCTAAGGACGAACAGCAAATTAGGGAACAACTTCTATTCTATATTCACAAGTATCATCCTGCTTGTGATCCCTGCAGACAGTCTTCAACAACAGATGTCTTCAGCAGACTCTCTCTATCTGACCTCATGAAACTCAGTTAATGTTTACTTACTTGTGTATCGAGAAACAGTGGTACTCTCTCCTTCAGTACTGCCATCACCTGCCACTGCAGTAACATTGATATCATAGTGGACACCAGCAGTCAGGTCAGTAATGGTTATTTGTGTTTGATTCACTTTGTCACTTTTAGGGATATTTCCATCACTCCACTGTACTCTATAGAAAGAGCTGCTCCCCTCTGGTTCATTCCACATCACAGATATAGAGGATGTTGTGATTTCAGTGACAGAGAGATTCCTGACTACTTCAGGCTCTGTGAGAGCAGGATAAATCGAAATGAGGAAGATTTTTTTTTAGAGACGGATAAATAAAGTACTAGTGAGAGTTGCAAGAACAAAAACCAACTTCCAAGTGTTTCATAACATCAGAGAACCCTTGCTTATCCAAAAAAGCTACACAATACAATGATGTCTTCAGCAGAGTCTTTCTATCCGACTTCATGAAACACAGTTAATGTTTACTTACTGGTGTACTGAGAAACAGTGGTACTCTCTCCTTCAGTACTGCCATCACCTGCCACTGCAGTAATAGTGATATCATAGTGGACACCAGCAGTCAGGTTAGAAATGTTTATTTGTGTTTGATTCACTTTGTCACTTTTAGGGACATTTCCATCACTCCACTGCACTCTAAAGGAAGAGCTGTTCCCCTCTGGTTTATTCCACATCACAGATATAGAGGATGTTGTGATTTCAGTGACAGAGAGATTCCTGACTACTTCAGGCTCTGTGAGCGCAGGATAAATACAATATGAGGAAGGAAGAATATTTAGAGCCAGGGAATTAAAAAACTAGTGAATGGCAAGAAAGAAAACTACACCGAGTGTTTTTCCTGATAGGAAAGCACAGTTGCTTAACCAAAAAGCTATAAAAGCTATCAAGTCCAATACAACTTGTGTTAAAAAGTAAAAAGGAGAAGAGAGGACAATACTCTATGAGTAAAACCTTTAGTACTCGGTGTAATCGTGTTGTGCCTGAGGATCAACATCAGTCTAAGGACGAACAGCAAATTAGGGAACAACTTCTATTCTATATTCACAAGTATCATCCTGCTTGTGATCACTGCAGACGGTCTTCAACAACAGATGTCTTCAGCAGACTCTCTCTATCCGACTTCATGAAACACAGTTAATGTTTACTTACTTGTGTATCGAGAAACAGTGGTACTCTCTCCTTCAGTACTGCCATCACCTGCCACTGCAGTAACATTGATATCATAGTGGACACCAGCAGTCAGGTCAGTGATGTTTATTTGTGTTTGATTCACTTTGTCCCTTTTAGTGACATTTCCATCACTCCACTGTACTCTATAGAAAGAGCTGCTCCCCTCTGGTTCATTCCACATCACAGATATAGAGGATATTGTGATTTCAGTGACAGAGAGATTCCTGACTACTTCAGGCTCTGTGAGCACAGGATAAATCGAAATGAGGAAGATTTTTTTTTAGAGACGGATAAATAAAGTACTAGTGAGAGTTGCAAGAACAAAAAGCAACTTCCAAGTGTTTCATAACATCAGAGAACCCTTGCTTATCCAAAAAAGCTACACAATACAATGATGTCTTCAGCAGAGTCTTTATATCCGACTTCATGAAACACAGTTAATGTGTACTTACTGGTGTATCGAGAAACAGTGGTACTCTGTCCTTCAGTACTGCCATCACCTGCCACTGCAGTAACATTTATACCATACTGGACACCAGCAGTCAGGTCAGTAATGGTTATATTTGTTTCAGTCACTTTGTCACTTTTAGTGACATTTCCATCAATCCACTGCACTCTATAGGAAGAGCTGTTCCCCTCTGGTGTATTCCACATCACAGATATAGAGGATGTTGTGATCTCAGTGACAGAGAGATTCCTGACGACTTCAGGCTCTGTGAGCGCAGGATAAATACAAGATGAGGAAGGAAGAATATTAAAAGCCAGGGAATACAAAACGACTGCAAGTGGTAGGAACAAAAACTACGCCGAGTATGTTTCATGACACGAGACCGGTTGTTTAACCAAAAAGCTACACAAAGCTATTAAGTGCAATAAAACTTGTGTTAAAAAGGCAGGGCCGGCCCGACCCATTAAGCGACATAAGCGGCCGCTTAGGGCCCCGCAGCCACTAAGGGGCCCCCTAGCAAAACTTTTTTTTAAATTTTTTTTTTTTTTTTTTATTTAAAAAAATAAAGATTCTCAGTACAACGTCGCCGTGATAAGTATGTTTAATTAATTGTGTTAATATGCCTAGATTACCTACTCTCAAAGTCATGTATTATATTATTGAGTCAATAATGTAATACATTAACCGTGCTTTACCTGAACCTCATCATGACACAAGAGAGGACGGCAGGATTGTAATTTCCCGTGTTCAGTGAATGCAACAAAGGCAAGACACCAGACCAACCAGAGAGTTGAAAGGAAATGCACTGTCTTATTGGCTGACAGGTACCTATCCTGTGAGCTGTGACAATGTTTAAAATAAACTGTCAGTCGGACTCAGAGTTTTTGAAGATGGACATAAGAAAACATTTTCTTAAAAAATACGACAATTCTCAAGTGGTGGCTCACACAACAACCCCAGAGCCACCACTTGAGCCAGTATGAGCCAGTACAAGGTATGTAAATTATGTCAGTAAACTTCCAAGTTATGCGAACATGTAAGCAAAGCATAAATTACAGCTACGTTGACGTTACTTTGAATCGCGGGGGTAAGCTAAACCGTTAGCAAGTAGCTATAGCTAGCCAGATATATTAAATAAACACTTTGTCATACAATCTAAATGTAATGTTTTTGGTGTTACCTGGTGATTTCACAGAAAGCTCTCTGGGAAATGTTGACTTACTGTTCGACATGAAGCTAGAAGCTACCTTACAGTACACAGTTGATCCTGAGTCCTGTCAGTTAAAGTGTTTCATAGTTAGCTTAGCTAAGCATCAACCTAGCACTGAAATATATGGATGTTATGTGAAAGTATTTCTGAGAAAAAGTCAGCTGAAATGGTGGCATAGTTGCCACTGCTTTACGTGTCAACAGCATGTTTGAACGTATTTGCAGCAGTAAATGTGGCTGTTTGGCCACTGACGTTGCCATAACAACACCTGCATTTAAATGTGCAACCTCTTTTTGTGACAGATTTTTGGCAAGAAATTATAATTCTTCTGAATGATATTCCTATTGACAGCTAGTTTCTATGTGAACATTATGAGATGGACAGCCAGAGAGAATACATGAAAAACAGTTATGAAATACTATATGACAAAACAAGAATACAGTTTAAGTGATTTGTAAAATGTCCATAAAGAAAAATCTGTTTACAGTTCTGTTTCATATGGGTGTTGAGAGATGTATCCATAGATCTCTTCATTTTGCTCTCAAAGTGCACCAGATTGATGCTTTTAACTTCAATATTTTCTTCCCGGGCGAGCATGCCCCCAGACCCCCCTAGAGGAGGTGAGGACCCCCCTAGAGGAGCTTAGGTCCACGGTGTTTACATGCTTATTTATACAATATGTGTGCTTATGCTAACATCATAAGACAAAAGTTGGTTCCGTGTTGTGTGTAGTGAGAACGCGCTAGAGTGAGGGGGGCCCCCAAGCCAAAGCTCGCTTAGGACCCCCAAAAGTCTAGGGCCTGCCCTGTAAAAAGGGAAAATGAAAGGAGAGGACAATACTCTATGAGTAAAACCTTTAGTACTTGGTGTAATCACGTTGTGCCTGAGGATCAACATCAGTCTAAGGACGAACAGCAAATTAGGCAACAATTTATTTTCTATATTCACAAGTATCATCCTGCTTGTGATCACTGCAGACAGTCTTCAACAACAGATGTCTTCAGCAGACTCTCTCTATCTGACTTCATGAACCACAGTTAATGTTTACTTACTGGTGTATCGAAAAACAGTGGTACTCTCTCCTTCAGTACTGCCATCACCTGCCACTGCAGTGACATTTATATCATACTGGACACCAGCAGTCAGGTCAGTGATGTTTATTTGTGTTTGATTCACTTTGTCACTTTTAGGGACATTTCCATCACTCCAATGTACTCTATAGAAAGAGCTGTTCCCCTCTGGTTCATTCCACATCACAGAAATAGAGGATGTTGTGATTTCAGTGACAGAGACATTCCTGACTACTTCAGGCTCTGTGAGCACAGGATAAATCGAAATGAGGAAGATTTTTTTTAGAGACGGATAAATAAAGTACTAGTGAGAGTTGCAAGAACAAAAAGCAACTTCCAAGTGTTTCATAACATCAGAGAACCCTTGCTTATCCAAAAAAGCTACACAATACAATGATGTCTTCAGCAGAGTCTTTCTATCCGACTTCATGAAACACAGTTAATGTTTACTTACTGGTGTACTGAGAAACAGTGGTACTCTCTCCTTCAGTACTGCCATCACCTGCCACTGCAGTAATAGTGATATCATACTGGACACCAGCAGTCAGGTTAGAAATGTTTATTTGTGTTTGATTCACTTTGTCACTTTTAGGGACATTTCTATCACTCCACTGTACTCTAAAGGAAGAGCTGTTCCACTCTGGTTTATTCCACATCACAGATATAGAGGATGTTGTGATTTCAGTGACAGAGAGATTCCTGACTACTTGAGGCCCTGTGAGCACAGGATAAATACAAGATGAGGAAGGAAGAATATTTAGAGCCAGGGAATAATAAAAAACTAGTGAATGGCAAGAAAGAAAACTACACCGAGTGTTTTTCCTGATAGGAAAGCACAGTTGCTTAACCAAAAATATATAAAAGCTATCAAGTCCAATACAACTTGTCTAAAAGGATGTTAAAAAGGAGAAGAGAGGACAATACTCTATGAGTAAAACCTTTAGTACTCGGTGTAATCGTGTTGTGCCTGAGGATCAACATCAGTCTAAGGACAAACAGCAAATTAGGGAACAACTTTTATTCTATATTCACAAGTATCATCCTGCTTGTGATCCCTGCAGACAGTCTTCAACAACAGATGTCTTCAGCAGACTCTCTCTATCCGACTTCATGAAACTCAGTTAATGTTTACTTACTTGTGTATCGAGAAACAGTGGTACTCTCTCCTTCAGTACTGCCATCACCTGCCACTGCAGTAACATTGATATCATAGTGGACACCAGCAGTCAGGTCAGTAATGGTTATTTGTGTTTGATTCACTTTGTCACTTTTAGGGATATTTCCATCACTCCACTGTGCTCTATAGGAAGAGCTGCTCCCCTCTGGTTCATTCCACATCACAGAAATAGAGGATGTTGTGATTTCAGTGACAGAGAGATTCCTGACTACTTCAGGCTCTGTGAGAGCAGGATAAATCGAAATGAGGAAGATTTTTTTTTAGAGACGGATAAATAAAGTACTAGTGAGAGTTGCAAGAACAAAAACCAACTTCCAAGTGTTTCATAACATCAGAGAACCCTTGCTTATCCAAAAAAGCTACACAATACAATGATGTCTTCAGCAGAGTCTTTCTATCCGACTTCATGAAACACAGTTAATGTTTACTTACTGGTGTACTGAGAAACAGTGGTACTCTCTCCTTCAGTACTGCCATCACCTGCCACTGCAGTAATAGTGATATCATAGTGGACACCAGCAGTCAGGTTAGAAATGTTTATTTGTGTTTGATTCACTTTGTCACTTTTAGGGACATTTCCATCACTCCACTGCACTCTAAAGGAAGAGCTGTTCCCCTCTGGTTTATTCCACATCACAGATATAGAGGATGTTGTGATTTCAGTGACAGAGAGATTCCTGACTACTTCAGGCTCTGTGAGCGCAGGATAAATACAATATGAGGAAGGAAGAATATTTAGAGCCAGGGAATTAAAAAACTAGTGAATGGCAAGAAAGAAAACTACAACGAGTGTTTTTCCTGATAGGAAAGCACAGTTGCTTAACCAAAAAGCTATAAAAGCTATCAAGTCCAATACAACTTGTGTTAAAAAGTAAAAAGGAGAAGAGAGGACAATACTCTATGAGTAAAACCTTTAGTACTCGGTGTAATCGTGTTGTGCCTGAGGATCAACATCAGTCTAAGGACGAACAGCAAATAAGGGAACAACTTATATTCTATATTCACAAGTATCATCCTGCTTGTGATCACTGCAGACAGTCTTCAACAACAGATGTCTTCAGCAGACTCTATCTGACTTCATGAAACACAGTTAGTGTTTACTTACTGGTGTATCGAGAAACAGTGGTACTCTCTCCTTCAGTACTGCCATCACCTGCCACTGCAGTAACATTTATACCATACTGGACACCAGCAGTCAGGTCAGTAATGGTTATATTTGTTTCAGTCACTTTGTCACTTTTAGTGACATTTCCATCACTCCACTGCACTCTATAGGAAGAGCTGTTCCCCTCTGGTTTATTCCACATCACAGATATAGAGGATGTTGTGATTTCAGTGACAGAGAGATTCCTGACTACTTCAGGCTCTGTGAGCGCAGGATAAATACAAGATGAGGAAGGAAGAATATTAAAAGCCAGGGAACACAAAACAACTGCGAGTGGTAGGAGCAAAAACTACACCGAGTGTGTTTCATGACACGAGACTACAGTTGCTTAACCAAAAAGCTACCCCAAGCTATTAAGTGCAATACAACTTGTGTTAAAAAGAGAAAAGAAAACGAGAGGACAATACTCTGTGAGTAAAACCTTTAGTTCTTGGTGTAATCGTGTTGTGCCTGAGGATCAACATCAGTCTAAGGACGAACAGCAAATTAGGGAACAACTTCTATTCTATATTCACAAGTATCATCCTGCTTGTGATCACTGCAGACAGTCTTCAACAACAGATGTCTTCAGCAGACTATCTCTATCTGACTTCATGAAACACAGTTAATGTTTACTTACTTGTGTATCGAGAAACAGTGGTACTCTCTCCTTCAGTACTGCCATCACCTGCCACTGCAGTAACATTGATATCATAGTGGACACCAGCAGTCAGGTCAGTGATGTTTATTTGTGTTTGATTCACTTTGTCACTTTTAGTGACATTTCCATCACTCCACTGTACTCTATAGAAAGAGCTGCTCCCCTCTGGTTCATTCCACATCACAGATATAGAGGATGTTGTGATTTCAGTGACAGAGAGATTCCTGACTACTTCAGGCTCTGTGAGAGCAGGATAAATCGAAATGAGGAAGATTTTTTTTTAGAGACGGATAAATAAAGTACTAGTGAGAGTTGCAAGAACAAAAAGCAACTTCCAAGTGTTTCATAACATCAGAGAAACCTTGCTTATCCAAAAAAGCTACACAATACAATGATGTCTTCAGCAGAGTCTTTCTATCCGACTTCATGAAACACAGTTAATGTGTACTTACTGGTGTATCGAGAAACAGTGGTACTCTCTCCTTCAGTACTGCCATCACCTGCCACTGCAGTAACATTTATACCATACTGGACACCAGCAGTCAGGTCAGTAATGGTTATATTTGTTTCAGTCACTTTGTCACTTTTAGTGACATTTCCATCAATCCACTGCACTCTATAGGAAGAGCTGTTCCCCTCTGGTGTATTCCACATCACAGATATAGAGGATGTTGTGATCTCAGTGACAGAGAGATTCCTGACGACTTCAGGCTCTGTGAGCGCAGGATAAATACAAGATGAGGAAGGAAGAATATTAAAAGCCACGGAATACAAAACGACTGCAAGTGGTAGGAACAAAAACTACGCCGAGTGTGTTTCATGACACAAGACCGGTTGTTTAACCAAAAAGCTACACAAAGCTATTAAGTGCAATAAAACTTGTGTTAAAAAGGCAGGGCCGGCCCGACCCATTAAGCGACATAAGCGGCCGCTTAGGGCCCCGCAGCCACTAAGGGGCCTCCTAACAAAACATCTTTTAAAATGTTTTTATTTTTTTTATTTAAAAAAAATAAAGATTCTCAGTACAACGTCGCCGTGATAAGTATGTTTAATTAATTGTGTTAATATGCCTAGATTACCTACTCTCAAAGTCATGTATTATATTATTGAGTCAATAATGTAATACATTAACCGTGCTTTACATGAACCTCATCATGACACAAGAGAGGACGGCAGGATTGTAATTTCCCGTGTTCAGTGAATGCAACAAAGGCAAGACACCAGACCAACCAGATAGTTGAATGGAAATACACTGTCTTATTGGCTGACAGGTACCTATCCTGTGAGCTGTGACAATGTTTAAAATAAACTGTCAGTCGGACTCAGAGTTTTTGAAGATGGACATAAGAAAACATTTTCTTAAAAAATACGACAATTCTCAAGTGGTGGCTCACACAACAACCCCAGAGCCACCACTTGAGCCAGTATGAGCCAGTACAAGGTATGTAAATGTCAGTAAACGTCCAAGTTATGCGAACATGTAAGCAAAGCATAAATTACAGCTACGTTGACGTTACTTTGAATCGCGGGGGTAAGCTAAACCGTTAGCAAGTAGCTATAGCTAGCCAGATATATTAAATAAACACTTTGTCATACAATCTAAATGTAATGTTTTTGGTGTTACCTGGTGATTTCACAGAAAGCTCTCTGGGAAATGTTGACTTACTGTTCGACATGAAACTAGAAGCTACCTCACAGTTGATCCTGAGTCCTGTCAGTTAAAGTGTTTCATAGTTAGCTTAGCTAAGCATCAACCGAGCACTGAAATATATGGATGTTATGTGAAAGTATTTCTGAGAAAAAGTCAGCTGAAATGGTGGCATAGTTGCCACTGCTGTACGTGTCGACAGCATGTTTGAACGTATTTGCAGCAGTAAATGTGGCTGTTTGGCCACTGACGTTGCCATAACAACACCTGAATTTAAATGTGCAACCTCTTTTTGTGACAGATTTTTGGCAAGAAATTATAATTCTTCTGAATGATATTCCTATTGACAGCTAGTTTCTATGTGAACATTATGAGATGGACAGCCAGAGAGAATACATGAAAAACAGTTATGAAATACTATATGACAAAACAAGAATACAGTTTAAGTGATTTGTAAAATGTCCATAAAGAAAAATCTGTTTACAGTTCTGTTTCATATGGGTGTTGAGAGATGTATCCATAGATCTCTTCATTTTGCTCTCAAAGTGCACCAGATTGATGCTTTTAACTTCAATATTTTCTTCCCGGGGGAGCATGCCCCCAGACCCCCCTTGAGGAGGTGAGGACCCCCCTAGAGGAGCTTAGGTCCACGGTGTTTACATGCTTATTTATACAATATGTGTGCTTATGCTAACATCATAAGACAAAAGTTGGTTCCGTGTTGTGTGTAGTGAGAACGCGCTAGAGTGAGGGGGGCCCCCAAGCCAAAGCTCGCTTAGGGCCCCCAAAAGTCTAGGGCCGGTACTGTAAAAAGGGAAAATGAAAGGAGAGGACAATACTCTATGAGTAAAACCTTTAGTACTTGGTGTAATCACGTTGTGCCTGAGGATCAACATCAGTCTAAGGACGAACAGCAAATTAGGGAACAACTTCTATTCTATATTCACAAGTATCATCCTGCTTGTGATCACTGCAGACAGTCTTCAACAACAGATGTCTTCAGCAGACTCTCTCTATCTGACCTCATGAAACTCAGTTAATGTTTACTTACTTGTGTATCGAGAAACAGTGGTACTCTCTCCTTCAGTACTGCCATCACCTGCCACTGCAGTGACATTTATATCATACTGGACACCAGCAGTCAGGTCAGTGATGTTTATTTGTGTTTGATTCACTTTGTCACTTTTAGGGACATTTCCATCACTCCAATGTACTCTATAGGAAGAGCTGCTCCCCTCTGGTTCATTCCACATCACAGATATAGAGGATGTTGTGATTTCAGTGACAGAGAGATTCCTGACTACTTCAGGCTCTGTGAGAGCGGGATAAATCGAAATGAGGAAGATTTTTTTTAGAGACGGATAAATAAAGTACTAGTGAGAGTTGCAAGATCAAAAAGCAACTTCCAAGTGTTTCATAACATCAGAGAACCCTTGCTTATCCAAAAAAGCTACACAATACAATGATGTCTTCAGCAGAGTCTTTCTATCCGACTTCATGAAACACAGTTAATGTGTACTTACTGGTGTACTGAGAAACAGTGGTACTCTCTCCTTCAGTACTGCCATCACCTGCCACTGCAGTAATAGTGATATCATAGTGGACACCAGCAGTCAGGTTAGTAATGTTTATTTGTGTTTGATTCACTTTGTCACTTTTAGGGACATTTCCATCACTCCACTGCACTCTAAAGGAAGAGCTGTTCCCCTCTGGTTTATTCCACATCACAGATATAGAGGATGTTGTGATTTCAGTGACAGAGAGATTCCTGACTACTTCAGGCTCTGTGAGCGCAGGATAAATACAATATGAGGAAGGAAGAATATTTAGAGCCAGGGAATTAAAAAACTAGTGAATGGCAAGAAAGAAAACTACACCGAGTGTTTTTCCTGATAGGAAAGCACAGTTGCTTAACCAAAAAGCTATAAAAGCTATCAAGTCCAATACAACTTGTGTTAAAAAGGAGAAGAGAGGACAATACTCTATGAGTAAAACCTTTAGTACTCGGTGTAATCGTGGTGTGCCTTAGGATCAACATCAGTCTAAGGACGAACAGCAAATAAGGGAACAACTTCTATTCTATATTCACAAGTATCATCCTGCTTGTGATCACTGCAGACAGTCTTCAACAACAGATGTCTTCAGCAGACTCTCTCTATCTGACCTCATGAAACTCAGTTAATGTTTACTTACTTGTGTATCGAGAAACAGTGGTACTCTCTCCTTCAGTACTGCCATCACCTGCCACTGCAGTAACATTTATACCATACTGGACACCAGCAGTCAGGTCAGTAATGGTTATATTTGTTTCAGTCACTTTGTCACTTTTAGGGACATTTCCATCACTCCACTGTACTCTATAGGAACAGCTGTTCCCCTCTGGTTTATTCCACATCACAGATATAGAGGATGTTGTGATTTCAGTGACAGAGAGATTCCTGACTACTTGAGGCCCTGTGAGCACAGGATAAATACAAGATGAGGAAGGAAGAATATTAAAAGCCAGGGAATACAAAACGACTGCGAGTGGTAAGAACAAAAACTACACCGAGTGTGTTTCATGACACGAGACCACAGTTGCTTAACCAAAAAGCTATAAAAGCTATCAAGTCCAATACAACTTGTGTTAAAAGGAGAAAAGAAAACGAGAGGACAATACTCTGTGAGTAAAACCTTTAGTTCTTGGTGTAATCGTGTTGTGCCTGAGGATCAACATCAGTCTAAGGACGAACAGCAAATTAGGCAAAAACTTCTATTCTATATTCACAAGTATCATCCTGCTTGTGATCACTGCAGACAGTCTTCAACAACAGATGTCTTCAGCAGACTATCTCTATCCGACTTCATGAAACACAGTTAATGTTTACTTACTTGTGTATCGAGAAACAGTGGTACTCTCTCCTTCAGTACTGCCATCACCTGCCACTGCAGTAATAGTGATATCATACTGGACACCAGCAGTCAGGTCAGTGATGTTTATTTGTGTTTGATTCACTTTGTCACTTTTAGGGACATTTCCATCAATCCAATGTACTCTATAGAAAGAGCTGCTCCCCTCTGGTTCATTCCACATCACAGAAATAGAGGATGTTGTGATTTCAGTGACAGAGAGATTCCTGACTACTTCAGGCTCTGTGAGAGCAGGATAAATCGAAATGAGGAAGATTTTTTTTTAGAGACGGATAAATAAAGTACTAGTGAGAGTTGCAAGAACCAAAAGCAACTTCCAAGTGTTTCATAACATCAGAGAACCCTTGCTTATCCAAAAAAGCTACACAATACAATGATGTCTTCAGCAGAGTCTTTCTATCCGACTTCATGAAACACAGTTAATGTTTACTTACTGGTGTACTGAGAAACAGTGGTACTCTCTCCTTCAGTACTGCCATCACCTGCCACTGCAGTAATAGTGATATCATACTGGACACCAGCAGTCAGGTCAGTGATGTTTATTTGTGTTTGATTCACTTTGTCACTTTTAGGGACATTTCCATCACTCCACTGTACTCTATAGGAAGAGCTGCTCCCCTCTGGTTCATTCCACATCACAGATATAGAGGATGTTGTGATTTCAGTGACAGAGATATTCCTGACTACTTGAGGCTCTGTGAGTGAGAGAGAAGTTGGTGGGGAAAATAATTAATGTTTCACTATTACAATTTTAAAACACTGTTATCATCTTTGTTTTTGACATTTGATTTGACAAACATCATTCTGCAACAATGCTGTAGGTAATTTACTGTTTAATGATCACACTTACTTGTGGTGGCCTCTTTGCAGCAGTTAAAGCAGTCAAAGTAGATTTGATAGATTGCTCCAGGAATCAAGTCATTTGCAGATAAATCTTGCCAGATTGAGATGTTGCAGCTTGAATTGGATCCGATCGTGACTGTGGTTGTTGTTGTCGTTAAGTATTCGGTGATATTGCTGTCACATTTTCCACCTAAAAGATACGAGAACAAGAAGAGCAGAAATGGAGTTAAAAAAAAGTTACATTTAAAAAAAGATAACAGGAATGATGTTCTTAACACATGTTTGATAACTTATATTTAGTAGAAAAATTACACGGGTACTTACATTCTTCTGTAGAGACCTGTGGAGAGAGAGAAGCAGAGTCAAATATCTTGCACCAGCAGAGGTCAGCATTGAGTTAACACAGCTTCAAACGATCAATTAGAAACCCAACCACCCAGTCAATGTCACAGTAAATCAGTACATTCAGCAACAACAAATAGCACTGCAAACCAGGTCATTTTTACATGGTTTCTTAAAACAGCCTTTTGTCAGTCCTACCAGTAAAATACTATGTTTTTCTGTCTGCTGCGGCAGGCGGTACCGCAGTATCAGGACCAAGACTCGGGGACAGTTTCATCCCCCAGGCAATAAGACTGCTTAATGCCTGAGCTCTGTTAAGTGCCTCCATAACCCAAAGCATTCATCTGGTTGCATCTTAGATTTATTGTAATTTATTATCTTAATAGTTATCACTGGATCAAACAGTATTTATTTAGTATTTCACTAATATAGTTAACTGCAACGGCAATACTTGTAGACTGGTCGAGCAACATAACCTGCACTATTTTATTCAACTTTATCGAACTCTGTTTCATTTGCAATATTTATTTATTTGGTTGTCTTATGTCCTATATATAATATGTTGCATTGTTGGAGAAGCTCGGGACCTATGATTGTCATTGCCGTAACTACACTGTAGTGCATATGATAATAAAACCCTTGAAGCTTGAATATTTTTCAAGATGAAGGTCTAAATGCTGTTTCAAAGATGTTCCTATACTATGCCATTAATTAAATTATAATGGATAAATATTGCTGGGTATTTCATTTCAATACCTTTTGGTCATATAGTATTGATTATCAAGAAGTGTCGATCAAAAAGTTATTGATTTAAATCCTGTGTAAAGGATCAAACGTGCTTATATTTCCTAAACTAATCATATATGCACTGATATTAATATTTAGCGTGAGATCCAAAAGTAGTCAATTGAATGTATATCGAATCTATATACAAACAAGAAAGGAAGAGGAAAACAAGAAAAAGAGTAATCAAAAGATTATTCTTTAAACACACAAGCTCCGATAGTGTCTTATGACAGACTGTGGTTTTGTATCAGTTGGAACGAACAAGAGAAGCTGGTCATATTCAACTATCGGTTATTATTCTCTTCTCTCAGATGTTACATTTGGGGAAGTGTTGTTGAAACACTGTTCTTCCTCATCTCTATTGCTCTGAAACAACTACAAGTGCTGACATCAAACAACAATATCATGCACACAGACACAGACACACACACACACACACACACACACACACACACACACACACACACACACACATACCTGTACACATTCTTGGCCACAAAACTCAAACTCTGTATTTCTACCATGGTTATTTCCTGTGTCCTGGTATCAGTACTAAACACACAGCTCTGATTCTACATTACTTATTAGCCAAAACCTCATCAGCCCAGAGTGACTCGCTGACATGTAGCCTTTCAGTTTGTTTACAGCACAGCTAAACATTAAACACATTGCATCATTGCTCAAACCTTCATCATTCTTTCAACTACAAAGATAAACCTCAATCATTAACTCCTGATACAGTCGGAATATCTTTACAATTACAGCAGTCCTGCATCACACCGGGTCTAATCAGGTTGTACTTCAACATGAAATATGTTAATGTTTAAACAACATTAAGCTGCAATTAGTGATTGTTCTCATTATTGTGTGAACTTTCACTAACATCTTCGACTTCATCAACCAATTATATAGTATTTGGATTGTGGAAAAATATCATATCTTTATTTCCTGTGACATCTTCAGATGTTTTGTTTTCTGAGCACCGGTCCATACCGCAAAGATAATTAATCATTTTAGTTTCAAAAAATGACAACTATTAAAATATTGATTATTTTTCGGAAATGTGTACATTATTTATTCCCTTAGGATCTAAATAAAATATCATGAATGTGGTACAAGGTTGTGTGCATTGGCTTTTGTTTTATGTATCTGATAAATTATAATGAACAGTGTATATCTGTTGTACTTATTTCTTATATTCAGAATTATAGTGACAAGATATTGTTTAAAGAAAGATTTATTGTTATTAATTATTCATGGTAATAAGAGTAAATTGGAGTTAGACATCTTATAAAGAATAGAGCATATTAAGATAGGCCTTACAACCTAGCAACTCAAACATTTGTCAGCCCAGGAAGCCAGGGGGAAAAAAAGGAAAGGTTCATTTTGCTCTGAGGTTGACCTTTTCACTCACCCGTCCCTGGAGAGAGGCGTCTACTAACTTTTCTTTTTCTGTTAACAACATTGACCCTACCCTTCCTTTCGTTCTTCTGGGACTCTTTTCTCCTTTATGAAGTACAGCGGTGCCATACCAGCATTGTACAAGGAGTTTAAGGGGTCAGTGCTTTGAGGATCTGGTGAAGCCAGGGTGTTTAGTGTCCGACAATGTTAGTTTAACCGAGTGCAATTATAACAAACATTTAATTGAAATATAATATATTTTAGAAAAGGCAGTATTTGGTTCTAAAAATAAATATTAACAAAATGACAGATTATTTAAAAAAAAAAGCAAAAAACAAAACTGTACTTCTGCAGTTTATGTGGGGTGTAAGTGTGGCTGAGCTTCACACTAACGCCCTGTCAGATAAAGTGGAACTGGGGAAAATGTCTCGCTTTATGTAATTTAGTGACACATATGTTATATTTCCCCCAATAGTAAGGCAAGGCAAGGCAAGGCAAGTTTATTTATATAGCACCTTTCAACACAAGGCAATTCAAGGTGCTTTACAAAAATGAAAGACATTCAGACAAAGGCATTTCAAAACAGTCATAGGAGTAGAGTTTGTTTTTAGAAATAAAAGAGAATCTCTAGACTTTAGTTGTTAAACTTCTAATCTAACAAATCTGAACTGGGCAAACTATGTCTGCTGATAAAGATCATGTGATATAATCAAAAGCTTCAGAATAACTAGTAAAATGACCTTGTAGTGCATTTATTTCCGCCACTGCTGCTGTGGTTGAAAATTAAATCTGAACCTCAACAGAAACATGTAGGCCTACTATTTATTTATAAAGCACTACAAAAAAATTTGTTTGTGTAGTGAAATACATTTTCATTTAATGGGACAACAAACTTAAACATTACATCAATTCAACGATAGAACTTTAACTGTTTCTGGCTCCAGATACAGTAAAACAGCTCACATCTATGCATGAATCTTATGTTTTCATACAAATGTTCTTTTTAAACGGACCTCAGAGGGTGTAAATTCTCTGAACTATGATTCCCAAATGCTTTATTTCCCTTGGCGCTCTTCCTAAGTATCACTTATTTTCCTCCTTACTAAATAAACAAAACAACTTCTCAAGCCATTATGCCTTGGCACTGACTCAGAGAGCAGAAATAGCTCAAACCCAAATTCCCATTTGGGATATACTGCCCTAGAAATACTTAAGTTCACATAATGGACGTCTTTTCTTGTACTGTATGCATATCTACTGGGACTCAGCTCCACCCATCTGTACATGCTGTAACACTCAGTCTATCTCTTAAATCAGAATCTTAGAATCACTTAATTACTGGGCAAATGCGTACGTATAATCAAAAGGAATATTCACTTATTATTATATGGAAGCCAATAAATACAAATAATAATTTGTCAGTTTGTTACAACATGCAGTGGAACATCTCAAATGAAATAAGATCTCCAGCATTACTTCTTCTAAAACAATACTCCCACTTGAGGAGCACTTCTTTATTTTCATTGTGAAAACGCTCTTGGCTTCGACTCAGCCAATGACCCTTTTGCCCTGTGTACTGTCTTTGCCCTTTGACTGGGCCTGTCTGCATGGGGAGGAGGAGGAAATGGCTGTACTGACCACTATATAAACATTACATCAACCCTAAAGGCAGCCTGCCTGCCACTCTCTGATTCCCTTTCATTCCCAGTAGTCTGCATTTGCTGCTGATAACAACCTGGTTCCTTCCTCCATAATAACACTCAAGACTCAAAAACAATCAAGAAATCACATTAAAAGATATTGGGTCAGGCATTAGCCTATTTAACCTTAGCGCATTATAATCAGATAAATTATTTAAAAAATTGAAAATATAAGAACAATTCTTTATTAATGCTCTTAATAGAAAGTGGATTCAAGAAAGTGGTGGAATTTCTTGCTACACAAATTATGTTATTTGGCAAAACCAAAACATGTAGGTGTCTTGATGATTAGCAACATAAAACAGTATAGAGAAAAATAAATGGATAAATGCAAAAAAGTTGATGATAGTTTTCCCCCTTGATTTTTTACTGTCCTTTTTACTTTTTGTAGTAGCTTTTTTCAACTGTCTAGTCGCAAATGACTGTTTGTTTTTGTATTATTTTATTCATTTGCAGCGTTTGTGTGTCAACATCTTGGGTCCTCAACTTGATTTTATTGTTGTGTGAAAGACATTTATTTCCATCATCCGTGGCGGTCCTGTGTTTTCTACACCTAGTCATATACAATATAAAACCCCTGTAAATATTTAAATATTGTATATTTGTAATTTTTTCTATATTATAATTTCTTTACATGGGGAGATATTCACAATATTTCAAAGCAAATATGTTGTTTCTGTGTTTTCAGCTTTCCACTTTAAGCTTATACTTCAGCTGTCAACACAAACATTAATTATGATTGTGAGATTTTGGGGAAATTGAGACTCTCACTTTCTTCTAATAAATTGGCAACTTGTTTTCTATTTAAAGTGCGTTGCCTTAGTAGCTTATAAGAATCCCACCCATTGTTTCTGTTCCAACATAACTTCCTGTCACTTCCTGCACCCACCCAGAGACCCCTGATAAGAGATATGAACAACCTCTTAAGCCCCACGGACCCGGTTCCGGGGCCGAAATCGCGTGATTTGCAGGAAACAACGTCTAAGGAACCTTAATATGTAATAAACTATGAATATTTTATATCCATATAACGGAAAAAAAACTCATTTAACTGATCTTTTTCATTTTATTTTTTTTAAAAACACACAATGCTAACACTGACCCTCTGAAT